CACGGGCATGCACGACAACCTGCCACCCCATGTGATCCGCGACGCCAGTCCCGATATGCATCGTCGCAACACGATCGACGACGACGAGACCGAAGAACACAAGATGCACGAGAGAGACGAGCGCGTGGTCCTACCGAGCGACCGCCGCAGCACACTCGAACCGACACAGGTCGCGGCCCTGCTTCCTCCTCGGAATACCCGCCGAGAGACGTTGGACGACCGACGTAGCACACTCGACCCGACACAGGTCGCGGCCATGCTACCTCCGCGAAGCACCCGGCAAGAGACGATAGGCGATCTCTCTTTCGACACGCGGCGAAGCACGCTCGACCCGAGCCAAGTCGCCTCGATGCTGCCAAGCACGCGTCAAGCGACCTCGGACCGCGACATGGACGACCGCCGGAACACGCTCGACCCAACACAGGTGGCCTCGATGCTGCCGCCTCGACACGGCCCTCGGCGCGAGACCACCGACATGCTGCCCATCCTCGCATCGCCTCGGACCGATCGGCGCACGACCTTGGATCCGATTGAGAGCATGCGCATGCTGCGCGTCGAGTCGCCCGAGCCGTCGGCAGCTGCGAGTCGGCGCGAGACGCTCGAGCCAGGTGCCATGTCGCTGCTGGAGGCGTCGCCCATCGCCGCCGATCCCACGGACCGTCGCGCAACGCTTGACCCGGCCGAGTACTCGGGGCTCTTGCAGCTCGACAGCGACGACGACGACGACAATGGTGGTCTCCAGGAAATGTCGCTGCACATGGAGTACTCGATCGCCGAGTCGGAAGCGCCGAGCATGGAGATCGAGGACGACGACGACGTCAACATGCTCGAGGAGGCGAGTGGCGCTGCGGACGAAGACGGTACGATGGATCGCTTTTTTTGACGTGGCGCGGTAGCCACCCTTCGTGTTGACGTAGCACCCCAGCGTCGACCGACGCCCGTGACGCAAGATGACGATGACGACGATGACGTCATGGCAGCGCCGGCGTTTGCATCGCCGCCCATGAAGCGGACGCTGGCCGTACACTACGACTGCCATTTCCATCCCGCGATCTCACCACTGCACTGCTTCGTGTAGACACCGCTCAAGAGCTGTCTCAGCGCCCGCAAGCCAAAACCACCGACGACTAATGCGAGCTCGACACCGACCAAGACGCTCACCTTCGGCCCGCCGACCGGGGCCGAGTTTCGGGCGTCGGACCCGTCGACCGCCATGACGCCCATGTGTGAGCGCACGGCCAAAGCCATGTTTCCATTGGAAAAGGACGAAGACGCCGAAGACGAAGAGACGTCGGTCAACAGCAGCATCCTCGACGAAGCCGACCTATTGGTCGACGACGACCACGCGAGCGCGTATGCCTTTGGGCCGATGCAGAGCCCGCGCCGAGGCAGTCCGCGCCGCAAGCTCCCGCCTCCGGTCGTCGGCGTGAGTCCGCTCGACAACCTCACCGAGGCGCGTCGGAAGCGCCGGGCGTCGTTTAGCGCGAAAGACATGCCCGCACCGTCGCGCCGACAGTCGCTTCTCGGTGTCAACGTCATGGCCGACGACTCGAATGCGTTCATCGCTGGCAGCGCCAAGAAGCATACGCAGCGCCTGAAAGCCCGCGGTACTTCGTGTTTTTTCCGAGACGACGACGTGTCTCATATCGTGTTGCCGTCGAAATAGGCACGACGACGTCGACACCGTTTGTGGACTCGTCGTCCGAAGACGAAGACATTGACATCACCGGCGAGTTCTTTACGATGCCGCCGGCGCTTGTGGTCGCACCGACGACCAACGGCCTCGACGACTTGCTCGCGGACAATACGCTGTCGATGCCAGCATCGTCGTCGTCCGACGGACTCGATGACAATGATGATGCGTCGATGGCCTTCTTGAACGCGCCGCCGAATGTGACGGACGACGGGCAAGACCCGACGCTCGACCTCGGGCCGGTCGGCCCCCTCGCGAGCGACCCGTCGTTGTTTTCGCAAGAATCGTCGTTTGTGCCGTCGTCGATGGAGACGCTGGCGCCGATTCTGGAAGAGTCGGATCGGAGTCGCATGGACATGAGCTCGGACGACGACGACGACGACGACGACGAGGACGACGACGACGGTGATGAGTACCAGCGCCGGCGACAGTCGGTGGTCGTGAACCTCAGCGGTCGGTTCGAGAAGCTCGGGTCGTCGGGCAAGAAAAAGAAGTCGGAGAGCAGCAAGCACGCGCTCTTGCCGCTCGAAGACCTGCCCCGTCCCGCGGCGCTGGATTTGAGCGACGATTCGCTCAACAGCAGCCTCGACGAGGCCGACATGCAAGACGACGACGACGACCATAATGACAACAACAACAACATCCTCATCGATACGGACAGCGTGGTGCCAGTGGACGTTCCACCCGTGACCCTCGAGGCGCTGTTTGCCAAGCTCGATGTCGGCCGCATCCATTCCTCGTTCGATACGACGATGGCAGGCGGCCCCGTCACGGCGCTGCAGCTCCTGTCGCCGTACGAAGTCGACGTGCGCACGTCGCTCGCATCGGCCAAGGACGAGCTCACGTCCTTCATTGACGAGCTCGCCGCGGTCATGGAGACGGCGTCCGGCCTGCCTGCGCCGACACACCTCGCGGTCTTGTACCATGGAGGGCCGCTGCCGTCGAGTCTCTCGACGTTTTACGAGCTCAAGGCGTACCTCGTGCTCGGCGGGTGGCTCGAATGGCGCACGAAGCTCGAACACGCGCGCACGACCGCCCTTCGCCCGTTGTTGCAGTCGGCGATCACCGACAAGGCCCATCTGGACGCAGCTACCGCGACGCTCGGCCTCAAGGAAGACCAGGAAGGGCACATTGTCGACGGGCTCTACGCCCATGAAAAGGCGACGCGGGCCGAGCTCGAGACGATTGAAGAGCAACTCGTGATCCGCGCCGAGCTCACCGGCCGGCTCCAGGCGCTCCGCCGGCAAGTCGAGAGTCTGCAGAAGACGCTGTCGACGCACGCCGCGCAGACAGCAACGCTCGAGGCGCGTCACGCAAACGCGTCGATGGATGTCTCCCCTGCGACCCTCGCGACGCAACTCGATGCCACCAAGGCCGCGCAAGAGACGTACCAGCTCGCGTCGGGCGCGTCCAAATGGCAGTGTCTCTCCGTCTCGGGCGTCGCGGTCGCGTTGGCGCTGCAATGCAAGGTCTGGAATGCGACCGTGCACGTGGCCATGGACGTGGATCTGAGCGCTGCCTTGCCGACGGCTTCGTTCGCGGTCCACTCGTCGTCGTTGGGCGTGAAGGCGCTCGGGACGGACCTCCAGCGCGTGCTCTTTGACACGAATGCACTGGAAAATGCGGCGATGCGGGTGCTGCGGTCGCCCGACGACGTGCCAACCTTGCTCCAATCGACCGAGGTGACGCTGCTTCGCGCGGCCCGCGTGTGCAAGGAAGTGCTCTTACTCGAGACGGACCACACCGTGTATGTGACGGACTCGAATCTGCTCGTGCAGTTTACGTCACAGCGCCGGAAAATCCGGTTTGGCGTCGCGTGGCGACTCTCGCCGAACGTGTTGTTCGAGCCGCTGACGTTTGCGCTGACGGGTGTGACGGGACTGACCAAGGTAGGCTCGTGTTGTGGACGATATTGTCGTATGGACGAGTTGTCGTAGGCGCAAGAGCTGGCGATTTTAGACCGGCTCGAGACGGTGCCGCGCGGCTTTCGGCGACTGCGACAGCTCTGTCAGTGCGTCGAGCGGTACCTGGACGACTTATAGTAGGCTAGACTTTTTGAGAATGGGACCACCCGTGGATCGTAGTCGAGCGTGGCCATGTACAGGTTGTCGGCGTGACCGTAAGTGTGGGCATGGACAGACGAGAGACCCACCTGAAACGCAGCAAGATGATTGTCTTGACGGGTGCTCGTCCTTGATTGCATATGCGAGGCGACAACGACCATCGCGCATCCTCGCATTTTGGGCTTGCACACACGACGGTGGTGGTGCTCTACAGAGGCGACCATGCTGTCCCTGGGCCGCCTCACTTGACTAATACCGTCTCCACTTGCGTTGCGAAACGGGCCTCGACTAGGGACATGTGTACACTCTTGACGAGGCACGACAATAGTGTAATATCGATTAGATAAACGGCTGCGCGGTCGCGGCTTCGACTTTGGACTGCGACGAGTTGGAGCCGAGCGAGACAGACGGCGCTTCGTACGTGAACCCGTTGAACATGCTCTTGGGAATGGCTTGCGCCGAGACCGGGTTGAGACTCACGGGCGTGTGGACCGGCATTTCTGTAAACTCTTTTTCAAAGTTGGAGGTATCGGCGTCGTCCTTCTTCGCATTCGGGTGGAACGGCGGCTCGGCCCACAGGAGGCCGTCCCAGTCGACGCTCGCAAAGAAAGGATGGGCCTTGACGTTGGCGGCGCCATGGCCCTTCACGCCACCGAGCCGCTTGTCCGGGTCGCGGTGCAGAAGCGCGCGGATGAGCGAGGCGGCTTCGTGGCTGACGTAGTGCGGGATCTCCAGCGGCGCATCGCGGATGCGGGCGTAGAGGTCCTGACGATTCCGCGTATACCACGGCGGCATGCCGGTGAGCATCTCAAAGAGCACCATGCCGAGGCCCCACCAGTCGACGGCGGTGCCATGGCCCTTGCGCGCGAGGACTTCGGGCGCGAGGTACTCGGGCGTGCCCACGAGCGAGTTGGCGCCGCTGGCAGCGTCCGTGACGTCGGTTTCGCGAGGCCAAAGTCGGCGAGCTTGACATGGCCGAGCTCGTCGAGGAGGATGTTTTCGGGCTTGAGGTCGCGGTAGACGACGCCGAGCGAGTGCAGATGCTCGAGGGCGACGACGAGCTCGGCGCTGTAGAAGCGCGCCATGGCCTCGGTGAACTTGCCGAGGCGCGTGAGGTGGAAGAAGAGCTCGCCGCCGGGGCAATAGTCGAGCACAAAGTAGAGCTTGTCGTTGGTCTGGAACGCGTAGTGGAGGCTCACGATGAACGGGTGCGAGACGACTGCGAGCACCTTGCGCTCGGTCCGCGTGTGCTCGACCTGGTTGCGCTTGATAATGAACGCCTTGTTGAGGATCTTCATGGCGAAGACCTTGGAGTTGTCTTTCTTGCGGACGAGCGTGACCTTGCCGAACGAGCCTTTGCCGATGACCCGGATGAGCGAGAAGTCCTCGAGGCAGACGGCGCCGGGCGCCTGGGCGTCCGGGATGAGGTCCTCGACCATGGCCTCGTACTCGGTACTGCTGCTGCTGCTGGCCATGGGGCGGCGGCTTTGTGGCAACTCGAAATGCGCGGTGTGGGACCAAGGTCCGTCATAAAAAGCCCGATGTGTCGTTAGCAACAAACGACATTGTATGTCACGCTCCTTTTGTATTCTATTACCTACACATCTATCGACGCGTCGCGTGTGTTGCATTATATTACAAGATGGTTTTATGTGCAGCGTCAATAAAAATACACTCGGAGGACGATTGGTCACATGACACTATTTCCGTGGAAAGCGCAAGACCGACGCGCCGCGGTAGCGCACGATACGCCAAGAGAGCGTACTATGGATGGAAGGTACTATACTGATACATGTGTATGACGGATGGGCGATTGCCGCGGGCGAGACCATCGGGCCGAAGCAGCGACTGGACAAGGGTGGTGTGAAATAGTGTATGCGCTTATCCGGATATATACGGATATGCAGGGGCGCGTACCGTGCCGCATGCGATCGTCAGGCGGAATCTTGAGAAATACACTCGCTGAAGTATCGAGCCTGAGCGATATAATGAATGCACGCGACGGTCGCTGTGGCCCGACGTGGTGTTCTGTACTTGCTCAAACGACGGGCTCGAGCTTTCTTTTCTGGCGACCAAATCCAATCTCGGTCTTCTGCCCCATGCAAAGTATGAGCCGCCCACAGCCTTGACATGGTTGAAGTTGTCAACTTGTGCATGTCGGCTTTTCTACAAGTGTGCGATGGGTTGTGGATTTACAAAGCATTTTAGACCGCCAAGGTTAAGAAGCTGGGGGCGAGGACTATGCGTCCCTCTTCTTGATTGCGGGGCTTGGTGGTGGCGGGCCACGTGATAAGTTACTACTCTTAGGCTATGCACGGTAGAATCCTTGCGAACGAGGATTGAATAGTCGGACATCAACCCACCCACGTATCCAACGCATCCAAAACGGCCAGGATCCAAGAATCCAAACGCACACGATCCTTTCATCCGCGATGTGCTTTGCGAAATGGACACATTTTGAATGCTGTCCTTGCAGCAGGCGATCCCTTTTCTACTCTGTTTGCGCGTTTGCCAACGATCGTTTGATATGCAAGAAAGACAGTTGGAGTGGTAGACGACAAGTCGTCCGAGTGTACTATCTATTTGCATGACTGGTGGTGGAATGCATTTTGGAACTGTCGACCGGATCTTCAAGCGTCGATAGTATGGCGGCCCAGAAGGACGACAGCGCCCGGTCGCCGGAAGTGACGACCGCCAACGAGACGCCTGCGGCGGCATGGGTCAAGAGCATCCAGAAGGAGAAGACCGACTACATGAACTTTGGTTGTTGCTCTCTCTCCCTTTCGCGAGACCCTCTCACTTGGAAAACACGCTAGCCGCGTACAGCAAGGTGCAGCTCGAGCACGCGCTTCGGGCGTCCGACCACCTCGGCGTCCCGAACGGACTCCGAACGGCCATTTGTTTTGAGCTTCTCGGTGAGTGCTCTTGCTGTTGACGGCGTCGGTAAAAACCTGAAGGTAGAAAATGTGTCGACGCATTTTGAACGCTACAAAGACCTTTTGCGCGCCATTTTGCGCGAGTGCAAACAGAGCGTGTACGTGGACCCGGGCGCGGTCCAAGTGAAAATTGACGCCGGTGGTTCCGTGACGGTGGCTGATTTTTTCGAGCTCCAGCCCTATTTTATCGAGCTCCAAGACAAGCGTATCGAGCAAGCCCAGGTCAACGCCGACATGTACTGTATTGTTGCCCATTTACATATATATATTGCATTTATGCGAATATTTTCCATTTTCCAGATCGCTTTCATGGTTGTGTAGCTCGATACTCGATCGCAAGCACGGCTTTATGATGGACCAGCTCGCGACAAAGGAGTCGGTTTTGGACCGCGTCTCGGAACGCTGGGCGCGGACAATTCTGCTGCAGGTCGAAAGAAGACAATTTGTACATTGTCTGTAATGGATAACGAATGGCTACCATAGGCTTTTCACAATTGGCACAAGGTGGTCGCGGACAAGCGCAAAGTGCGGTCGTCCATGCAGAAAGCCATGGGCCGCTGGAAAAAGCGGTACGATCGACTTGTGTGTTTATGACAACTTGACCATTCTTCTGCATGTTAAACTAGACATTTAACATTAATCGTGCGCATGTGGCGCCAGGTCATTGTCTCGGAAAAGCAAATGGAAGCGCGCCGCCGTCTCTCGACGCTCACCGAGAGTGCGGGCGACTGCAAGGACCTTCAGTTCAAGCTCGAGCTAGCGATCCGCACGGTCCGCGACGAAATTCAAGGTCTCAAGCAGTCGATTCAAAAGCATACACTGACGCAAACCGAGCTCCAAGCGACATTCTCGTCCTGTACGTCGTCGTTTTGATTTGTGGACATATTGTCGTCGACGCATCAAAAATGCTTTGACGATATGTGTAGTGATGGAGAGAGTGCTCAGTAGCCACGAGCGGCAGCTGCAAGAGCTCTCGAACGAATGGGGCCGTCTCTGCCTCGGCCTTGTACCCCCTGCATGCTACGGAAGGCTAGCATCCTAGCATCCGACACTATTGTAGGTCGACGCACAACTGCTGCATTTGACCAACATGCTGGGTGCTGTGCCGTACGAGACCTTTGCCGACCCAACGCTGCTCCTACGTCCACGCGACGATCGCGTCGACTTGCTCAAGGTCCCCGAAGACACCATTGTGCTCAAGTGGACGAGCCGACTGGTTCACGAGCAAATTCAGTTTCTCGCCAAAGCACCACCCTCTACGAATGCCAAATCGGCGGCGGAGATTGAGATTGAGCTCTCTCGCGTTCAAAACTTTACCACCGACATGAAGGTATAGAGAATGTGGTCCATTTCATTTCGATTGTGGCACTTTTTTATGAATGTCGATGGATGGCGTAGGGGCTGCAAGTACTCCACACCGTGCTCAAGGTCCTGCGCCGCAAGGTACCCGAGACAAGCGAGCCCTGCAGTGACTCGGTCGTGGACCACCTTTGCGCGTGGCGCTGTCCCGACTACCTCGTGGAGCACATTGAGCATGCCTCTGAGGTACGACATCTTTCATATCAGATGTGGATACTGCACTGACATATGGCGTAGGGCACTGTCCCCAGCGATATTATGTATTGCATTCTTAGCTATCTCTTTTGCGAAGTGCCTGCCAGCTTGCGTCCCCCGTGTGCCCTTGGCAGGAAGCGAGTGCATCCTTGGACGAAGCCACAGCCGCATGGGACGTTGTGCGTAGCGTACGCCATGCATATGACAATATTGACCATTGTCCAAATGACTCTTTGAATGGGCTAGGGATGGCGCGAGCTCCAAAAACCGTTTGATACGTCGATGCTCGTGGGCTTCACCCCCGATACGACCAACGTTGCCGCGATCGTCGCGGCCAACAATGCGCTGCAAAACGCCGTGCAAATGGTGCAGTACGGTGCGACACTTGATTCATGACAATATTGTCCACAAAATATAATTAAAACGATAATAGCCTGCTCGGCGCGCGCGGCCAACCATCAGTTGTACACGGCACTGTCCAAGCGCATTCACACCAAGGCCATCGACGTGCTCCTCGTCCGCGTGCACGGTGACGCGCCGTTCGTCATGGCCAATCGGCGCGAAGCCCGCGAACGGGCGACGTATACAACGATCAAAAAAGAGACACTGAATGCAATTTTGCAGTCGGACGTGACAACTGAAGTGCCCAAGATCGAAGCCGTCTTGGGAGAACATTACGGTACATTGAAATTGAACTTTTAGTTGGAGACTCGACAACGTGTCCTATAGAGGATCTCCAGCGCATATTCGAATATTACGCAGCAAGCGACGTGGGGGATGCCGGGAGCATGTCTCTGGACGAATTTTACGGCTTTCTCAAAGATTGCAAGCTCATCTCCAAGTCACTCACGCTCGGTACCTGCGTCGCCTCCATTTGACCCCATTGTGATAATAGAATCCTCTTCATTAGCCTATGTCAAGAAGATCTTTCACGACATCAACGAAGGCGACGTCGACACGGAACTCGTACACATTTTTGTCTTCATTTTGATTGACAACCTACCTCATAGGACCCGTTTAACCCCGACATGGAATTCAACGCGAGCGAATTCATCCATGCCCTCGTGTGCGTGGCCGAGCGCCGGCTCGGTTCAAAATGTACAACTTGTCCTTTATATGCTTGAAAGATATCAATATATCACGACGACGTATAGCGACGCCGTTGAGCCAGCGGGTGAAGCGCTGCTTGTCGGACTTCGTGCTTGCGAATGCGTGCCGCGCGAGCATGGACGGCTTCCGGAACGAGATGAATGCGAGTGCGTGCAAGGCTGTGTTTCAGCTGCACCAAACGCTTCTCGAGCGGCTCTACAAGCAGTTTGCCTCGACCTCGGCCACTCTAAGTGCTGCGGATTTTGTCGTGTTTCTCGAGGTTGTCCAATTGTACATCTATCGGTACAGTTATATGGACACATTTGGATGGTTAGGAATGCCAGCTGCTGCCGCACGTGCTTTCGATTGGCGATGTTCAAAATATCCTTTCAAAAATCCAACAAGAAGACGATGTCCTCGATGGCGGGGAGGCGCCGAGCCACAACAGCGCGCTCGAGGTACGACTTTCCCTCAATTTCGCAGCAGAAAGTGGACGAGTGTCCTATGTAGTTGACGTTCACCGAATTCACCGAGGTGCGTTGAATGCTGGTTCTTTCAATATGGAATATATCGAGGTTAGGCGATCGGGGCCGTCGCATTGTACTACGACCCAAATGTGTTTACGCCCATTGCCACACGCCTCGATGCATTCATCGTCCTCCTCGGCACGTCCACCACTGCAGCTGCAGCTACATAGCCAATTCCAAGCAGTCGACGGTGTTCCAGCACCAAGTATGTCACGGTACAGAACGCAGAAAAGACGTGGCGTCGACGAGAAAGCTAGCTGGCTTCAGGAAGCTCCGTCTTCAAATGTACCCGAGAATCCTTCCGTCATGATATTTCAGTTGTTCATGTGCCCATAAGTGGATGTGCAATGGAGATGAAGCGCGTCAGCCGCTGGAGCTGACGTCAGTCCAAGCCTAGTAACGCTGGAGGCGATTTAGTCGACTACTGTAACTTATCTGGAGCGCAAGTGCTGTAAACATGTACTCGTAGTAGATAGGTTAGGATCGACGTGCTTTACCCACTTCCCTTTTCATCAATATACCGCTTCCAGCAGCGCTAGCCTTCATTATCAGTGACCGTCATTGAGAACACCTGCGTTGGAATGGGCTGCACTGCAGCGACGGGCGACAAATTTTATTGTGGTGTGCATCTGCGTTTCACGTTCACTCCTCAATCCTGCCACCGTCGTAGGTCGATTATACAGGTCGTACATGAGATCTTACGACGCCTCTTTGAATATTCACCGCCGGCATCAACGCGGCAGACGCAAATCTCGCACGGCGACGCCGGATAGACGAGTACTAGTACTACACAAGGTAGTCTAGCAACAACGATCTCGACGATCGGGTGTAAATGTATGGACCTACGACAGCCAACCAAGGGAGCAAACTGCTCTCATACGGTGCCACGCACCTTTTGGCGGGTTTTTCTTCTGGATAAAGTTTTGATAGATCTGATAGGGTGGGAATGGCTCTGCTTTTGCGAGAAGCAAGTACGCGCGATAGAATCCGACGCCGTACTTCAACGAGGCCAGCGCTACTGCAATAGGATCCAGCTGCTGCGATTACTATTCGAGTACAATGCACGATGCAATGGCGACATGGATGCGTTGACCATATCCTGCCATGACGTGGCAGCATCCGCATATCATATGGTCTCGCCACACGCGTGCGACGAAGCTGGCCAATCAAATGGTGTACAAGATAATCATTTAGCCAATCGTGGATCCGTATGCGCCAGGGTTGCAGCCTTCCAAAATGGTGTTTCGTGCATCGCGACGACCCGTCCGCGAGATTAAAGGGATTTAGGATCACGCCTGCACAGCCGCGATGTGCTGGCCGCGAGTCCAAGTTCAGCATCCTGAGCGTACTTTCCAGTACACTGTTTGTGATTGGGAGCTCAAAATTTCCTTGCCAAGGTACTTCTCGGAGCGTTTCTGGAGCCATTCCCACCTGGTCATCCCGTCGACCCCGACTTTAAACCCACGGGAAAGATGCCATCGTCAAACTGAGGCTGCTCATTTTCCGATTTGCTCGCAACTCCATCGACAGTACCACCACGATTACCATGCAGCTGTTCACGACGACGGTGCTCCTGGCTGCGATGGCCTTCACCACCACCTACGCCCGGACCTGCGGCGCGCCCGAGTGGAACACGGACTTTGCCGGCAGCGACATGTCCAACTTCAAAACCACCGGCGACTTTGGCAACATGCTCAAACAGTGCTGCGACGCGTGCACGGCCAGCAGCACGTGCGTCGCCTACACGCTCGCTGACAACGTCTGCTACCTCAAGTCGGGCGCCGGCAGTCGCCAGCCCAAGACCGGCGCCACGTCCGTGCTCATGTCGGGCACGTCGCCGCCAGTGAGTACATGCTCGGCGCCGGAGATCAACGTCGACTACTACGGCAACGATATCTCCAACGTGCGGTCTCGGGCAACCAAGCCG